CACACACACACACACACACACACACACACGCACGCACGCACACACACACACACACACACACACACACACACACGCACACACACATCTGTAGAGAAGAAAATTGGGTGATAATTTTCTATGTGTTCATTCCTATAATCAACCTCTTTCATATTACAGTTATTGGATTTGGTGTTAATATAGAAAACATTGAGTGGTGCAGGTTCACTTAGCAGAACATATTTTCATAAGCTAAAATAAACTCGGTGACAAACAATAAAGAATGTAAAGTTGTTGTCATGTCATGTTAAATTTTGGGCAAATGTGCCATTCTGGAAGGATCACTGTATACACTATATATTGTATACTGCAGTGGTGGGCTATGAGGGCCAGTAAGGCCTTCTCTGCTGGCCTAAACACTATCAGAAGCACTGACCTACATTTACAACCTAAATTCTAATATTTGTTCAATGAAATTGTATTAATTTATTCCCAACAGTCTATTCTCTTTATTTCATAGTGTTTCACTTGGCTGCACTGCTTCCGTTATGAACAACAACACACAGAGTATGTGGAGAGGCATCAAAACAATAACAGACTACAGAGGCAACAACCAGCAGGTCAGCCATGATCCCACCCTCCCTGACACTCTGAATAGTTTCTTTGCACGCTTCGATACACCTGGCAGCAGAGGAATTGTACAACTCCCTCAGCTTGAGGAACAGCACCAGCCCCTCGTCCTGCAGCTACACCAGGTGAGCTCCACCCTGAGGAGGATCAACACCAACAAAGCTGCAGGACCAGACAGGGTGTCAGGCTGTAGAAATCAGCTGTCACCTGCCTCAATGATTACTGCCCTGTTGCTCAGACACCAGTAATTATGAAGTGATTTGAGAGGATTGTCCTAAAGCACATCAGGGACGTCATCTCTGTTGGTCTGGACAGCCATCAGTTCGCCTACAGAGAACTGATCAACAGAGGATGCTGTCTCAATAGCATTACACACAGCCCTGTCCCACCTGGAGCATCCTAACACTTATGTCAGGATGCTATTTGTTGACTTCAGTTCGGCATTTAATACTGTAATCCCAGACAAACTGGCACTGAAACTGCACAATCTGGGAATGCCTGCAATGATGTGTCATTGGATTAAGCACTTTCTCACTAACAGGCCTCAGGTGGTGAGAATCGGAAGCTGCACATCATCCACACTGGTCCTGAACACAGGCACACCACAGGGCTGTGTGCTCAGCCCAGTTCTCTTCACTCGGTTTACCCATGACTGTGATGCCATTTATTTGTTCATATTTTTATATTGACTTATACAATTGTGTGTTATGTAAATAATATGTCTGCGTTTTAAGCGGAGAGCTGCCGGAAAATTTTTTTGTTGTGCTATGCATAATGACAATAAAGATTCTTGACTTGACTTTAGGAGATAGTGTGCTGTAGTAGTGAGTCCTAAAACCTGGAACCAAGTCAGAATTTTTGCACTTCCGGGTACCTTGCCCTGAAATCTATGGGTTTTTTGAAAGGCTTTTGGTTAGGTGCCTGACATAAGGTCTGTGATTAATGCACCTTTATGGTTTTTTCTATGACACAAAATACATCAGTAAATATCCCACTTGTGATTTTTCATGCTTTTACGCGTCTTACAAAATGGCGGTTGCTAACAGGTGGCTAAATGAAACTAAAGAGGCTGTCTGGGATTTTATCATACCAATCAGACCCAGCTACTTACTAATCTGCCTTTACAGCCTTGTTAGGTTTAAACTCATGCACTTGCAAATTATTCTGACTTAGTGACACAGCCATGATCACAAGCTAGATCAGGTCATGCTAAGAGGAAAGGCTAAAGCTAAAGCGCTAGAAATCAAATTACAAGTTGGAAGCCATGATGGTGACCCTGAAGTCATAGGACCCTGGTGTAGTTTGTTTAAAGCCTAACAACAGCGTTTTACTTCTGGAAATCATATATGG